CCCATAAAACAAAACGAGACTAATGAGGCACAGTAGTCCAGAGACAAGGACTAGAAGGCAGAAGGGGACAGGAAAGCTAGTGATAGGGAACCCAAGGTTGAGTAAGGACAGTGTTGACATGCAGTGGGGTTGTTAACCATTGTCATAGGGCAACATGTGTACTAGCTGTTTAATGAGAAACTATTTTGTTCTGTAAACCTTCATCCTACATGAGAATAGCAGCACAACTGGAAGAACGTAATCGATGTTACTGAATTGTGCATGTAGAAATTTTTGAAATGGTGTATCTTTGGCTATGTATATTTTTACCAAAAAGAAAAGGTCGAAAAGTTGACACGTCTTCGGGTTGTTAACCAATGTTATTAAACAATATGTGTACTGACTGTTTAATGAGAAAATATTTGTTCTGTAAACCTTCACCTAAAGGACAATTAAAAAAAAAAAAATTTATGACTCCAAGTCCCCAGTCACAAAAGCAAAATATTTTTTAAAAGGCTTTACTAATAATAAAGTGAACAAATAATATACTTCCCACTTACAATGTACACCTTACTTGAATATATAAGTATACCATAAAAAAAGGACTAAAATGGGAGGCATTGGGCTGTTACACTGACACAGGATTGGCTAATTGTGTCAAAGTAATAATATACAGGGTTTGCCCCTATTTAAAAAAAAAAAAATTGTGTTTTAGGTGAAGGTTTACATAGCAAATTAGGTTCCCATTTAACAATTTTCATACAACTTTTTCTATGACATTGATTATACTTTTCATAATGTCAACATTCTCATTATTTTCATTCTTTTTGTTCTGTTTCCATTAATCTAGCTTCCCTGACACTCCTTATCTTCTCATTTTTGTTTCAGTGTAAATGCTCACCATTTGGTCTCATAGAGTTGATTATTTAAGAGAGCACAGTATTCACAGGTGCTAGTGAGCCCTGGTGGCACAGTGGTTAAGAGTTACAGTTGCTAACCAAAAGGTAGGCAGTTAAGATCCACTAGCTGCTTCTTTAAAACCCTATGGGGCAGTTCTACTCTGTCTATAGGGTCACTAAGAGTTGGAATCGCTCAAAGCCAATAGGTTTGGTTTGGGTTTTTTTTTTTTTTTATTTTATAAGCCAATCTATTGTTTGGATGAAAGGTGACCACTGGGAGTGGCTTCAGTTCCAAGTTCAAAGGGTATCTTAGGGCAATAGTTTCAGGGGTTCCTCGGGTCTCTACTGGTCCAGTATGGTTTTGGCTTTTTACTGAAAGGATATTTGCCTACAGGAAGAAAGGAGTATGAATGGTAACAAACTCTATTAAGTTAAGTAATTCCAGATTATAAATAATTATACTAAAATTAATGACAGCCCACAAAGCACTTCATTTACCAATAAAATTCAGTTCAGATGAAACCTGCTAAAGAAAAACACCACATGGAATGTACATATACAATATCATAATAATTACAAAATCAACTTTGGCAAAGCTTTCTCTATTTTTCCCATTTGTTCAGCTCTCTCCTCCCTTCTTAAGTCATATATAATATAAAATTCAGAACTTTCAAAGATGCTACAGAACTAAAAGGGTTAGAAAACACTGTTAGTCTTTTGAAAAGTACACTGAACTTATACCTACTTCCTCAATCTAAAGGCATATGTATATTTTAGGCTGACCTTCCGACTCCCCATATAGTAAAGAGACCTTACCTGATGTTTAGGCATCTCTCTATTCTCCAAAATCGTGTTTCTTACATCATTCCACTGCTCCTATTTGAAGTAAGAAAATCATGCAACTATTTACTTAAAAGCAATTACGGTTAAGGAAAAAAAATGTAATCATTAGATCTCAATTTGCCTTATGATCACCACTTAAAATTCCAAGTTAACAGTATCTAGTTAATAGACATTGTAGTAAAATACTTTAATCAGAATATATGCTATGAAAATACAAATGTTACTATTTTTATCATCAAACTGCATCTGAGTCTTTTATACATAGGATAATAACTGATGTGCCTTGACAACAACTATACAATTAACTGTAGAACATATGAGGATGAATCATTCATGGAAAACTCTTATGTCAACATCATTTCCTTGGCATTAGCTTTAGGAAAAATCTCGTTTTCATTGTACCTGTCATTTGATCATTTCCAGAATTCATATTTTTTAAGTGATGAAGATGTGAAACACTTTTTCAGGTCATCTGAATTATCTCGGTGTAGCCACATTATTACCTTTAAGGCTATAAATAGTCACAAGAAATTTTTAAAAACAAAAACTATTTTCAGGCAGGAATCACATCTTTTCACTAGGTATTCTATACATTTTTAAACTTACTTAAAAAACGGTGACTGAATTATTTCGCATTTGCAGTTTATGCAAATGTATTGTAGTTAAGAACATATACGGCTTTTACTGCAAGTCTGTAGGTTCCTTGAGAGGCACGGTAATATTTCAACAAATTTTTGGTCATAGGAAAGAAGTGAGATCAATAATGAAAATGAAAAAAATCTATACGAAGAAGCATATTTAAACGGAGGAATGCCAAAGGGGTGATTTTCTTAAATTTAAATTCTTAGTATCAGAAATACCAAGCCACTTGTTCATTTTTTTCATAGCTTAAAATGTATGGGTCATCATGATGATCATGGTCTCTGCTAAGACTGTATTTTTACTGAAAAAAAAAAAAATCTAATTCTTTTTTGGACTAAGCTTCAAAGTAGTGATATATAATAAAACTGTGCTTGCTGTATGATAAAAATTTACTTACGGATAATACTTCTTTAGCCTTATTTGATGATTCTTTAAACCTCTGTAAATCCATGCTATCTCTGTGTCCTTTAACATTAAAAAAAAAAAAACGGTTTACAACATAAGAACTTTGTTTTTCCTTGTCTATTAAAATAATGTCATCGCCTGTAGTCATTCTTGTTAGGTGGCGTCAAGCTGGTTACAACTCACAGCAACCCTATGTACAACAGAACAAAACACTACCTGGTTGTGCACCATCTTCACAATCATTAAGCTTAAATTAAGCCCACTGTTGCGGCCACTGTGTCAGTCCATCTCATTGTGGGTCTTCCTGTTTTTTGCTGGCCCTCTACTTTACCAAGCACGATGTCATTCTCCAGAGACTAATCCTTCCTAATAACATGTCCAAAATACGTGAGAAGTCATCTCGCCATCCTTGCTTTTAAGGAGCATTCTGGTCCTACTTCTTCCAAGACAGATATGTTCATTCTTTTGGCAGTCCATGGTATACTCAATATTCTCCTCCAACATCATTAATTCAAAGGCATCAATTATTCTTTGGTCTTCCTTATTCATCATCCAGCTTTCACACGCATATGAAGCGACTGTAAACATGATGGCTTGGGTCAGCCCCACCTTAGTCTTCAAAGTGACATCTTTGCTTTTCAACACTTTAAACAGGTCTCTTGCAGCAGATTTGCCCAATGCAATGCATCCTTTGATTTCCTGACTGCTGCTTCCATGGGTGTTGATTGTGGATCCAAGTAAAATGAAACCCTTGACAACTTCAGTGTTTTCTCCTGTTATCATGATGTTGCTTATTGGTCCAGCTGTGAGAATTTTTGTTTTCTTTATGTTGTTGTGTGATCCACACTAAAGGCTGTGGTCTTTCAGCTTCATCAGTAAGTGCTTCAAGTTCTCCTCACTTTTAGCAAGCAAGGTAGTGCATCTGCATAATGTAGGTCTTTAAAGAGTTTTCCTTCAATCCTGACACCTCGTTACTCTTCATATAGTCCAGCTTCTTAGATTATCTGCTCAGCATACAGACTAAATAGGTATGGTGAAAGGATACAACCCTGACACACACCTTTCCTAACTTTAAACCACGCAGTATCCCCTTGTTCTGTCCGAACAACTGCCTCTTGATGTATGTACAGGTTCCTCATGAGCACAATTAAGTGTTCTGGAATTTCCATTCTTTGTAATGTTATCCATAATTTACTATGAACCACACAGTTGAATGCCTTTTCAGAGTCAATAAAACACAGGTAAACATCTTTCTGGTATTGTTTGCTTTCAGCCAGGACCCATCTGACATCAGCAATGATAACCCTGGTTCCACGTCCTCTCCTGAATCTGGCTTGAATTTCTGGCAGTTCCCTGTTAATATACCGCTACAGTTGCTTTTGAATGATCTTCTTCAAAATTTTATTTGCATGTGATATTAATGGTGCTGTTTGATAATTCTGCATTCAGCTGGATCACCTTTCTAGGAACAAGGCATAAATATGGATCTCTTCCAGTCGGCTGGCCACGGAGCTGTCTTTCAAACTTCTTGGCATAGACGAGTGAGCACTTCCAGTACTGCATCCATTTGTTGAAACATCTCAATTGGTATTCCGTCAATTCCTGGAGCCCTGTTTTTCACCAGTGACTTCAGTATAGCCTGGACTTCTTCCTTCAGTAACATCGGTTCCTAATCATATGCTACCTCCTGAAATGGTTGAACATCAATCAATTCCTTTTGGTACAGGGCTTCTGTGTAATCCTTTCATCTTCTTTTGATGCTTCCTTCACTATTGGAATTTTTTCTTTAGTTCTTTCAGCTTGAGAAACGCCGAACATGTTCTTCCCTTTTGGTTTTCTAACTCCAGGTCTTCGCACGTGTCATTGTAATACTTCACTCTGTCTTCTTGAGCTACCCTTTGAGATCTTCTGCTCACCTCTTTTACTTCATCATTTCTTCCTTTTGTTTTAGCTACTTCACGTTCAAGAGCAAGTTTTAGAGTTTCTTCTAACATCTCTTTTGTTCTTTTTCTTCCCTTTTTAATGACCTCTTGTTTTCTTCATGTATGATGTCCTTGATGTCATTCCACAATTCATCTGGTCTTCCGTCATTAGTGTTCAATACGTCAAATCTATTCTTGAGATGGTCTCTAAATTTAGGTGGGATATACTAAAGGTTGTTTATTTTGGCTCTTGTAGACTTGTTCTAATTTTCTTCAGCTCCAACCTGAACTTGCATATGATCATTCTGACTGATGATATTGCGCTTTTCCATCATCTCTTCCCACAGTTGTAGTTGATTTGATTCCTGTGTATTCATTCTGGAGAGGTCCACATGTATAGTTGCCATTTATATTGGTGAAAAAAGGTATCTGCAATGAAGAAGTCATTGTTCTTGCAAAATTCTACCATACGATCTCTGGCATCCTTTCTATCAAAAAGGCCATATTTTCCAACTACCGATCTTTCTTCTTTGTTTCCAATTTTCTCATTCCAATCATCAATAATTATCAATGCATCCTGACTGCATGTTCGATCAATTTCAGACTGCAGAAGTTGGTAAAAATCTTCAATTTCTTCATCTTTGACTTTAGTGGTTGGTGCGTAAATTTGAATAATAATTATATTAACCTGTCTTCCTTGTAGACATATGGATATTATCCTATCACTGACAGCGTTGTACTTCAGGATAGATCTTGAAATGTTGTTTTTGATGATAAATGCAATGCTATTCCTCTTCAAGCTGTCATTTCCGGCATAGTAGACCATATGATTATCCATTTCAAAATGGCCAATACCAGTCCATTTTAGCTCACTAACGCCTAGGACATCAGTGTTTACACGTTCCATTTAATTTTTGACGATTTCCAGTTTTCCTAGATTCAGCAGGCATATGTCAGTTTGCGGTACTATGGGGCGTGCATGTTACTGTGATGCTGGAAGCTATGCCACAGGTATTCAAATACACAGGGTCACCCATGGCAGACAGGTTGCAGCTGAGCTTCCAGTCTAAGACAGACTAGAAAGAAGGAGCCGGTGGTCTACTTCTGAAAAGAATTAGCCAGTGAAAACTTTATGAATAGCAGAACACTATCTGATATAGTGCCAGAAGATGAGCTCCTCAGGTCGGCGCTCAAAACATGACGGAAGAAGAGCTGTGTCCTCAAAGTAGAGTCGACTTTAACGACGTGGATGGAGTCAAGCTTTTGGGACCTTCGTTTGCTGATGTGGCATGACTCCAAGTGAGAAGAAACAGCTGCAAACATCCATTAATAATCGGAACGTAGAATGCTTGAAGTTTGACAAAAATTATATAGTCACCCTACTTATAAAGTATTGTGGTTTACTAGTTATTTCTAGCCTTCCCTGTGACTTCCTATTGTTTCCCAAGTACCTAACACTTAAGAATTGTTCTCAGGTTCTTTCAACAGGAATTGATCAAATTCAACTGAAGTTTCTTAAACTCAAGACAGAGCCCACATAAATTTTCCACATCATTATTAAAATAAAATGCACCAAAGACGTATGTGCCAATCAAACTAGTAAAGCTCAATTCAACCGATTCTTCCACTTCTGGTTCCTTTTAAAATTTTTAGAACTATACTCTATGAAAAAGCAGTCTGCTTGTCACAAAAGTAAATGTTTTTATTAACTATTTTTACTTATAAGATGATAATTATAATAGATATTATTAACATAAAAACACTGGCCTGCCAAACTTACCTACAAATGCTCCAAATTCTGTATTATCTCCTTCTGCAGCTTTAGAGCAAACAACCTCTTGATCTTTGGTTACAGTTTCTAACTGGCTTGTGCAAGTTGGCTGGGATGGTGTACTAACAAAAAATTTCATTGGGGGGGATGACAGATGTGGTATGCTATTAGATGAACTACCTAACTTTTGATTTTTACTAAACATTTTTAAGGTTTCTGCCCCATGTAGTCTCTGTCGCAGTTCTAGAGGAGAAACAGCACTTGGGAATAAGGCACCACAAGAGGAACCAGCCTCTGGAAAAAGGAATTCTTTTCTCTGGGGTAGTACAGGTAAATCCTGACCAAATACTTTACTTTGGGGATCTTTTTCATCTTTCATAAAAACATTGCAAAGAAAAGGATTATTACTCTGAAGACCACCTTGAGGAAGAGAAGAGCTAAGTGTATTTACAATACTGCGCTTTTTCCACACAGAAGGTCTTAAAGGACCATCTTCAATAAGATTTTGAGCCAAATGTTTGGAAATGCTCAATTCTCGTGTGATTTCATTGTGCACTTTGCTAGCTTCTGAAGCTTTCTGGGCAGTGAGTGTTTTTAATGTATCTACAGTCAGGGCTGAGAGATCTTGCAAATGGCCGATTTGAGAATCTAATGAGTGTAATGATCTTTTTATGTAGTTGACACGATCTCCAACTTCTTTAATCTGAATGCACATCTGCTCCACTCTGGAGGGGGAAAAACATTTTTTTCATATGTGAAAAATCAATGTTTCAGAAATTCTTTTTGTAATCTCAATAAATGATAATGGTAAAAAGTGAGAAATTTTATATACGCTTAAACAAGTTAAGAGAGAAAATAGGGTACAGTTATTTATGCAAGACACACTTTTCGTTTAAGAAGGATCCTGTGCTAATCCTATCATAATGATATGCAAGGTTTAAAACACTATTTATGCTTCACAGGCTGTTTATTCTAATTTCTCTAAGTAACACAAAAAATGTGAATACAGCTACACAGACATAACTACCCTTACCATCCCTGTAACTACACAAACACCATATATGTCACAATGTAGAAAAGGTAATGGAAAGAAACAAATGCTTTAAAATAATGAGGACAGTTTTACCCATCCTGCTGAAATGTCTAAAAATAATAAGAGATTGACTTATCTGAAGTATTAGAAGAATTGAACTGCCTCCCAATATATAATGTAAAACTATTACTAAACATATTTAACAAATGAAAACTGAACAATGACTGTGTAAGAGACATAACTAATAGAACCCATTCTGACATATAATCAATTATAATTAAAATGCTTCTAAACCTTTCAAATGTAACACGAATTCTCTCTTCGCTCCCAGAATGGAATTTGTCATCTTTTTCATTAAAATACATTTCAACACACTGCTCTTCAAAATCATGAAGTTTCTTTTGATCTTCTTCTGTTAAGAAAAGTTCTAAAGGGAAAGAAGAGGGGAAAAAAAAAAATCAATGAAGAGCTATCAAGCAATCAAACTTTAGCTTATAAGTTTTTTTACTGCTGTGCCTCTAAAGCATTACACAAGTATCTCTTTTTTCTTGACTCACAGTGTGATGTCAGCAAAGTAGTTTCAAGTACTTCCTCCTCTTCTAATTTCCTTTTCCTACACAACAATCCCGTCTCTCTCTCTCACCTCTCCCCTCACATATCCACGCAGAAAAATTTAAGAACTGAGTGGGTACAAAAGGAAGCAACTGTAATATTCAGAGCTGTTTGATATGGTGACTAGCCTCGTTCAGTGTACTTAATGCACTAAGTGTTATGGCTTACAGAACAGCAAAAGTGTTATGGTTTACATCATCTTAATAAAACAAATTGAAATACCAAATTCAAAAAGAAGTTTAATTCTAAATCTACTTTATAGATACCGCCTTAATTAAATTTTTTATGTTTTGGCTAATTTAACAAAAGCCTTTATAACAACACTAATCAAGTAAATCGAATTCAATACTTAGCTTTTAGTGCAATACTAAGTGATCAAATGAAAACATTTGCCTTAATATTTTTACTTACTTGGTCCATCTGAAGTCTTATCTTTTTTCCTTCTTTTACATATGCAGCAAAACAAAGAAACTATGTGGCTAAGAATGATAAGTGGCGGAGGCAGAACTGGTTTCTCATGATAAGCCATGATGAAGTGATAACGCTGGTACTTCCATACAATGTTGGAAATTGCCTTCACTTGTAAATACACATTGCTTGAATAATGAAGAATAAAAATAAACTTACATTTTGAAGCTTTAAATCCTAAAGATTTTATTATCATTCTGTTCTAAATAAGGATTCAAAGAATACACTACCATAAGCAAGAGTAAAAGGCAAACGTGAAACTGGAAATAATACATGCCAAGAGAAAGGCAAAAGGTTGATAATGTGAAATATCTTCACCAAAAACTCCCAGAAAAATAGGCAGAGAACATGATTTTAAGATTTAAGTTTATATACAAATGGCTAAATGTAAGAAACTAATCAACCCCAATGGTAATAAAACAAATTCAAATAAAACCAAGGTCCTTCTATGTACCATTGAAGTGTCAACCGTTAATCTGTAATAATACTTGGTGTTGGTCAGGGATTTGGGGACATAGGCCCATTTTGACTTAAATAAAGCAAAAAGCCCTAAATATGTATATATGCATGTCTATACACTGAGCAGTTCTACTTTTACAAAAACATTCTAAAGAAATACTGAAGAATTGTTCAAACGATCTAACTACAATCTAGTTTTGTGGTTTTTAAGAACAAAAATTACAAACAACTGGAGCAATAAAGCATACTGACCTGAAAAATTATGGTTTATTATCAGGGAATACCAGGTAGCCATTAAAAATAGACTGAGGAGGAATACTGACAGATGTGGGATAATGTTCATGATGTTTTGCTTAGTTAAAAGCAGTTCACAAAAATGTAATAACATTACGTTACAGAAATTTTTTTTTTAAATATATATTCATAAAAAATGACAGAAGGATATGTATCAAAATATTAAGAGTGGGATTATCAATAGATTTTGTTTGCCTTTCTGTTTTTGTACTGAATGTGTATTCCTTGGCAACCTAGTAAAAATCCCAAACTCAATTAAAAAAAGAAAAAAGCTTGATGAAAGATATCAAGAGTCTCAAATTTAGAACTCATTTTATTTGAAAATGCATGTTTTCTCATCTGTACTTTTTCAGAGATAAATTTAGTAGTTTAAGCCTCAATAACATTTTTAGATTTCAAATTCTGTATATTTCCTCAGAAATAAGTAGGACTGTATGTTAACTTATCTCATTACAATAAGCAACTGAATAAAATTCTTACTTGAAAAATGCAATAAGAAGATTAACCATAATGATATACTGTACAAAGAGGTAGACTGCTTGAAGAAATGGAGTCAACCAAGTTCCAGGACCACAGATATTCTTTACAGTGGAATCATTTGCACACACTGAAATGGGTGAACAGATTTACAGTTGAATTTTACAGTTCAATAATTTTAAAAAATTTTGATAAAAACCTGATATCCCCTGTAAAACTCAACATGCTGTATACTTTCAAAATTCACAGAGTCATTATTTTGGTCATGAACATTGTAAACACTCAATATCCAATATACCCTGGTTGGTCTAAGCTAATCATGGTTAAGACTATTCCCCTTGCCAAGAACTGTTTCAGTGATAGGCAGGCTGAAGCCAGTCTCAGCACCAGTGATATTCAAGCACAGGTTCAAAAGGGGGTTTCTGGGAAAGAGATGCTTTCCCTCTTAAGAGGAACAACAGACAGTGTCTCTTTTCTCTTAATGCTAGTGACAGAGTCTTATAATCACAAAGGAAGCCTGTAAGCAACAGACACTGTACAACAGACCAGGGAGATGAAAAAAATAGGACTGTGAATTTACTATGTGAACTAAAAACTGTTCTTATTGTTTAAGCAAGTATAGGTCAGATTTCCACTACTTAAAGCTGAAAACATTCTAAAAAATTTTTTTCAATTAATTTTTGCTAAGTCTCTCTTGTGGGGTTAACTAATGTACTCTGGGGAGGATTAGGCTAGTCACTGTATGACTTCTGAAAATATGCATTACTATAATGCAATACTGACTTTAAGACATAAAATAACCACGAGATGAGTGCATAAGCATTCATAACCACAAATCCTTACCATCGATTTCATATGCATAAACCTCACCAAAAATCATCCAGTATGGATGAAAAACTATATCTTTAGCAAGCTTCCAAGATGGTGGTTCTCGAGGATAAAGTATTGCTTTTCTGGGAACACCAAAACTAAGTAATACAAGAGCCATAATCACTACAATGTAGAACATATTGGCCACCTGTTAAAAAATGAACACTGTTAAAATACATATGAATTTAAAAACTATGACAATTTTTCATCTTAAAAAAAAAGTTCTAATGTTCTATACATAACTAGAACGTCTGAGTTTCTTGTAATCCCTAATAATTTCATTCAGGAAAATCTTACCATCTTAACATCCAAAATGGGTGAATAATGACTACTTTTTTGGTGTGGTAAATAGTAAACCAGTGATTCTCACAGGAGTGAGGGAGCACGCACACATTCCACTGGATAGGAAATGTGTAGTATGAAAAAGCCAATATAATAATTAAGCTTTATATTCAGAAAACTTAAAAATTTAGTTTCCATTATGCAAAGTAATTCTGATAAACCTGTGAGCTAGTGAGGTTACTCAGAAGATAGTTTAATTTAGATGGCAGTGATTTTCCAAGGTTAAGGAAAAATGTTCCAGAACAAAGATTTTTATATTCATATGAAGAGAGCAGATGTTTAAAAGAATTGAGCAACAGCATACATAGGGTTATAATATGTGTTGATGTTAAGTTTGACACAGATAAGCGTATGTATATACACGTAAATCTGGAAGGATATAAACTATTAATAGTGGAAGTCTCCGAACGGTGGTCTGTATTTGCCAAAATTTTCTACAATGAGTAGTAATTTTAGAGTAAGGGGGAAAAAGCTACTTTTACAGAAGCAACAGCATAACTGAAAACTAAAAGTAATTTATGGCAGGAGTAGGGCCAACATATTCCAGATTTTTAAGTTCAGTGTATAAAGCATTACACATTAAACTTGACATCTAGATTTTAGAATAAAAAACAAAAACTGCCAGTTAAGCCAGTTGGAAAGAATAAAAGACTGAGCTTATTACTTGAAAAAGATTAAATGTGCTGAATGTAACTTTTAAAAAATGTTTCTGAAATCAGCGAAGGCAAGAGGAAAGAGGTATATAAAGACATAAACCACAGATAGTATTTCTAGTTAGTTAGCATTATCTTGCAAGGTACATTCAGAATGGAATATTATGAGCACGGATAAGGCCCGAACAACAGAAGGACACATGGGACTTTTTCACAGTAACCCTAGTGATTAAAAATCAACACAATGAACGATCTGACTAGCTGCTTTCAATATCCATGCATTGAAGAGTCATTCCAACATGTTAAGGAAAGACACAGAAATATCAATTACTCTAAAAAAAACCAAAAGACAAAACCCTAATGGAGTGGGGTGAAGGCCTTCAATGGTTCCTCCTGTATTTCCTTCTCAAAAAAGTTCTTCCAAAAACTTCCTTCGAAATTCAGACTGCCCAGTTTTCAATGCCTCATACAACCCAGGCTATACCCTGCCTATCCAATCTGTCACCTACTCTTTATCATGAACGTTCTTGTCAGGCTTTTTATCAATGTCTATTCTAAGCTTTTTAAGAACAACTCATATTCCACTGCTTTAGTAAAAGCCTTCACAGACTTATCTCTTTCTATGAACTTTTATCTCTCTATACTCATCAATTTAATCAGCAAAACGTTGATAGTTATATAATGTCTCAGCTGATTCATTAAAATATTTTCAGTAGAACAGGATTCTCAAACTAGATTATAAGGTTTTTTAAAAAATAACTAGGACTGGTAAGTAAAAAAGAGAAATGAGTTTTCATGAAGTTCAGAGGCAATCTCCTAATAATTTCTGCACTGTCTTCCACAGCAGTGAGAATACAGTAAACATTAAAAAACTTCTTGGGGAATGATTATAATTTTCACAATTTATAATCTTCTACTAAGGATATAAAAATCTGAAGAGTCAATTTATCAAAGTACAGTGAGTCTTTAGTGATTTTATCTTTTTCTTCCTACTTGTAATAAGTGGCTTGACAAGCACTGAGATAAGTATTAGAGATACAAAAGTAACCAAAACCAGACAAGGTTCCTAATCCAAGGAGTTTATAGTCTAGGAGAAGATAATTAAGTAGTGAAATAAAAATGTAGTTTAAAATATAGTTAGACCTGAGCAGCAAAAGACAATTGATGAATAAACCCACTGTCGTCTCATCGATTCCAACTCATAGTAACCCTATAGGACAGAGCAGAACTGCTCCATGGGTTTCCAAGGTTTAATCTTTACAGAAGCAGACTGTCACATCTTTCTCCCCCAGAGCAGTTCATAGGTTTGAACCGCCAATCTTTTAGTTAGCAGCCAAGTGCTTAACAATTGTGGCACCAAGGCTCCTTTAAAAATAGATAAATAGCAAAAAGATGGAAACAACCTAAGTGCCCATCAACAGACGAATGGATTAACAAACTATGGTACGTACACACAATGGAGTACTATGCAACGATAAAGAACAATGATGAATCTGTGAAGCATCTCATAACATGGATGAAACTGGAGGACATTATGCTGAGTGAAATAAGTCAATCACAAAAGGACAAATATCGTATGAGACCTCTATTGTAAAAACCCATGAAAAAATTCACACACAAAAGGTAACAATGTTTGTTGGTTACAAGGGATGGGAGGGGTGGGGATGGGGAATACTAAACAGGCAATAGATAAGTGGTATCTTGGGTGAAGGGTGAGACAGTTCACAATACTGGGGAAACCAGCACAACCCGTACAAGGAAAGGTCATGGAAGTGCCAAAGACACATCCAAACCCCCTGAGGGACTGAACTGCTGGGCAGAGGGCTGTGGGGACCATGGTCTCGGGGAACATCTAGCTCAACTGACATAACAGTTTATAAAGGCAATGTTCTACATTCTACCTTGGTGAGTGGTGTCTGGGGTCTTGAAGGCCTGTGAGCAGCCATCTAAGCTGCTCTACTGGTCTCATCCCTTTGGGAGCAGGGGAGTGTGAAGAGAGCAGGATGCAGAGGAAGGATTAGTCCAAAGGACTGATGGACCTCAGCTGCCAAGGCCTCCACCAGACTGAGTCCAGTGCAGCTGGATGGTGCCCGGCTGCCACCAATGACTGCTCTGACCAGGCTCACAGCAGAGGGTTCTGGACAGAGCTGGAGAGGGATGTAGAATAAAATTCTAACTCACAAAAAAAGACCAGATTTACTGGCCTAAAGGAGAATGGAGAAACTCCAAGAGTATGGCCCCCAGACACCCTTTTGGCTCGGTGGTGAGGTCACTTCTGAGGTTCGCTGTTCAGCCGGGGAATGGACAGCCCCATAAAACCAAATGGGACTGCTGAGGCACAGCAGTCCAGGGACAGGGACTGGAAGGCAGAAGGGGATGGGAAAGCTGGTGATAGGGAACCCAAGGTTGAGTAAGGATAGTGTTGATGTGTTGTGAAGTTGTTAACCATTGTCATAGGGCAACATGTGTACTAACTGTTTAATGAGAAACTATTTTGTTCTGTAGGCCTTCATCTAAAGTGAGAATAGCAGCACAACTGTAAAAGCATGGTCGATGTCACTGAACTGTGCATGAAGAAATTTTTGAAATGGTGTATCTTTGGCTATGTATATTTTCACCAAAAAAAAAGAAGGGAGAGGCTTGACATGTCGTGGGGTTGTTAACCAATGTCATAAAACAGTATGTGTACTACTGTTTCATGAGAAACTGTTTGTTCTGTGGACCTTTACCTGAAGTACAATAAAAAAAAAAAAAAAGATAAATAGCAAAAAGATGGAAACAACCTAAGTGCCCATCAACAGATGAATGGATTAACAAACTATGGTACATACACATAATGGAATATTACACAATGATAAAGAATAATGATGAATCAAAAAAATATCTCACAACATGAATTTGTGGGACATTATGCTAAGTAGAAACCTGGCGGCTCAGTGGTTAAGAGCTCAGGCTGCTAACCAAAAAGTTGGCAGTTCAAATCCACCAGCTGCTCTCTGGAAACCCTATAGGGCAGTTCTACTCTGTCCTACAGGGTTGCTATGAGTCAGAATCGACTCAACAGCAACCAGTTTGGTGTTTTGTTTTTTATGCTGACTGAAATAAGTCAATCACAAAGGGACAAATACTGTATGAGAACACTAATATAAAGTAACAACAGAAGGTTTACTAACGGGGAAAAACAAAGAAAAAAACATTGTTTGATGGTTACCAAGGATGGGAGGGGGTCTGAGGGAAAATTTCCAAATTGACAGAAGATACATGTTAATACTGGTGAAGGAAAGGCAATATACAATATAAGAGAAATCAGCACAACATGACCAAGACAAGAGAAGACACTGAAAGGAATGCCAAGAATAAAGGGCAACTAGAATAAAGGGCAATTGTAGTAATTATTATAACACAGACAATCCTGCAACAATAGTATTAACAAACAATAATTTAAGAATCGATTTACAGTAGACAGATATGGCAAGAGGTGTGGGAAGGTGTAAGGGAGTACACCCACTGGCAGATACAGGTTTGGTGGTAGATATTTCTCTACATACATGATTGTACACGCTCCTCATATATTAACAGTCAATAGAGCACACAAGGGGCATAGTCAAGGAACCCTCTTAGACATAACCAAATACCCTCATGGGACGAAGTTCCTAGGCTTGAAGGTGAAGGACCACAGACTCAGGGGACATCTATGTCAAATGGCACAACACAGTTCATAAAGACTGTTCTGTATCCTACTTTGATGAGTAGTGTCTGGAGACTTAAAAGCTTGTGATTGGCCATCTAAGATACAACTATTAGTCTCTTCTGTCTGGAGCAAAGAAGACTGAAGAAAACCAAAGGCTCAAGGGAGCAATTAGTCCAAAGGACTAATGGACCACATGAACCACAGACTATATGCGACCCAAGAGCAGAAGAACTAGGTGGTACCTGGCTCCCACTACCAACCGAGTGCTCTGACTGGGATCACAACAGAGGGTGCTGAACAGAGCAGGAGAAAATGTAGAACAAAACATCAGATTCACAAAAAGATCAGAATTACTGGTCTGACAGAGTATGGAGGAACTCCCAAGACTACGGTCCTAAGACACCCTTCTGACCTGGAACTGAAGCCATTCCCAGAGACCATCTTCTGGCCAAACAATAGACAAGCCCATAAAATAAGCAGTAACATCCGAGAGGAACATGATCATTAGAATAATCAATTCTATGAGATCAAAAGGGTAATATTTCCCCAAAAGCAAAGATAAGAAGGCAGGAAGGGGCAGAAAATAAGGACAAAAGGTAACGGGGAATTCAGGGCGGAAACGGGAAGAGCGCTGACGCACTGTCAGGAATGAAACCAAGGCCATGGAACACTTTACATATAAATTATCGAATGGGAATCTAATTTGCTCTGTAAACTTTCACCTAATGCACAATTAAAAAAAAAGAATTTCCAGAACTAAAAAGAAATTGACTACACAACTCATGTGCTTTATAAAAATCACAACTACCAGGACATGACTGTGAAAAAACCGAGCTGTTGATGTGAATGCAATCTTGTTAAAACTAAAACTAAACTAAGTCTGTCAATAAAGGGAACCTTATAAAAATTACATACTTTTATTCATCAAAGGAATTTATCAACAAAGTGAAGAGACAATCTTCTGATTGGGACAAATTTTTCAGGAACTATATTTAATAAGGATCCAAAATATAAAAACTTCTACAGCTTAACAACAAAAAGACAAACAACCCAATCAAAAAATGGGCAGAAGAACAGACATGTCTCCAAAGAGGATATTCTAATGGCCAACAAGCACAGGAAAAGAAAGTCAATGTCATTCCTGTTGCCCTCAAGTCAATTCTGACTCATAGTGACTCTACAGGGCAGACTAGAGCTGCTGTATAGAGTTTCCATTGAGTAATGGTATTGGGTGAAGAATGCTGAATATACCATAGACAGCCAAAAGAACAAACAAATCTGTTTTGGAAGACGTACAGCCAGAATGCTGCTTAGAAGTGAGAATGGCAAGACTTCATCTCACTCACTCTGGACATGCTATCAGCAGGGCCCAGTCCCTAGAGAAGGACATCATGCTTGCTTGGTAAAGTAGAGGGTCAGCGAAAAAGAGGAAAACCCTCAATGAGATGGACTGACACAGTGGCTGCTACAACAATGGGCTCAAGCATAATGACAATTATGAGGATGGCACAAGATCGGGCAATGTTTCATTCTGCTGTACACAGGGTCGCTATAAGTCAGAAACAACTCGACCGCACCTAACAACAATAATCTTTTCAGAAGCAGGTTGCCATATCTTTCTCCCACAAATGACTGGTGGGTTCAAACCGCTGACCTTTCCGTTAGCGGCCAAGGGCTTAACTACGGTGCCACCAGGACTCCTTAAACCAAACCCATTGCCAGTGAGTCGATTCTAACTCCTGGCAACCCAATGTGTTACAAAGTAGAACTGCTCCATAGAGTTTTCTTCGCTGTTGATCTTTACGGAAGATCACCTGGTCTTTCTTCCCTGGAACCCTTCGGTGGGTTCCAACAGCCAACCTTTAGGTTCATTAGCCAAGAGGAAACCACTTGTACCACCCAGACAGCAGGGGGCATTAGCCATTACGGAGATGTAAATCAAAACTACAATGAGACACCACCTCACTCCTATTGGAATGGCAATGATCAAATAAAACAAAACAAAAAACCCAGAAAACAACAGGTATTGGTGATGTTGTGGGAAAAATGGAACCCTCGTCCATTGCTGGTGGGAAAGTAAAATGGCACAGCCACTGTGGAAAACAGTGTGGCAGTTCCTAAAAAGTGGAACACAGAACTACCATATGACCCAGCAGTCCCAATCCTAGGTATAAACCCAGAAGTGAAGGCAAGAATGCAAACAGAAACTAGTATACCAATGTCCACTGCAGCACTTTTCACAATAGTCAAGAAGTAGAAATAACTGAAATGTTCATCAACAGATGAAGGGATAAACAAAATGAGGTACATATACACAACGGAATACTACTCAGACATAAAGAGAAATGAAGTCCTGATGCATGCCATAACATGGATCAACCTTGAAAACATCATGCTGAACGAAATAAGTCAGTCCCAAAAGAACAAATATTGTATGATCTCACTTACATGAAATGAGCAAACACAGTGAAGCCTGTGAAAGCCAGAACCTGTTAAGAGAAGGAAAACTCAAATATATTCCACAAAAATGAGTAATAGAAAAGTGACAAGACTGCATTCCATCAAAGGCGGAAAACCTTTGAGACCTGGAAAAACAAGGCAGTCCCGTCAAGTTCCTGCTCTCACAGGGAAACCACGACTACCAGTGGTTACTGGGGATGGGAGGGAGAGCGAAGGAGGGAGTTTTCGCTTTAGGGACACTGAGTTCTGTTCATGGCCATGGAATGACTTGGAAAAGGACAGCTAGAACAGTTGCACAACTTGAAGAATGTCATCAATGTCACTGAATTCTACATGCAGAAACTGTTGAGATGAAGTATGTTTGCTATGTATATTTTCACCACAATAAAATTAAAACAAGAAAAAAGGAAACACAAAAAATAAAGAGAAGCTAAAAAAAATATATATAAAGTTATAGTTAGACACTAAGATAAACATAGGTATACAGCAATAAACTTGATCTAGCTAGTAGAGACCAAAAAAGCTTCCCTGAAAAAAAAAAAAAATGTTGAAGCTGAGCTCTAAAGGATAAACCTAAGTCAATTAGTCAAAAAAGCTAAGAGCGTAAGTGTAGATGGGGATGATCTCTTCAGGCAGAATGAAGAACATTAGCTATGTAATTGGTTAGGGGTGGGTATGGTATGTTAAAGAAAATGAAGAAAAGGCCTGTGTGACTAGAGCGTAGAGGTCAAGAATATAATGAAACTAGGTAAAGGGTACACGGAATCTCTCTGTATTACTTCTTAGAACTGAATTATCTCAAAATTAAAACAAAATGCAAGGGCCGAACTGGGAAGAGTTTGTGGTTCTAATTAAGGGCACTGATCTCTCACGAGCAATGCAAAATCATTATATGATTTAAGAGGAGCCTTGGTGGCAGAGTGGTTTAGTGCTCAGCTGCTAACCAAAAGGTTGGTGGTTAGAACCCAACAGCCGCTCCACAGGAGAAAGATGTGACAGTCTGCTTCCATAAAGATTTAAATTATAATAACAACAACAAACTCAAGAGCCGAACTGAGCAGGGCTTGCAGTTCTAATTAAGGACACTGATCTCTCAGGAGCAATGCAAAATCGTCAAAAGATTTTTTAAAAAGGGGAAGTGGTATATTCAGATATGTGTGTTGTGGGTCAGAGTGGTAGTAAGGAAACAGATTACTAGACTACTACACACGCCAACTGATGCTAGTTTGGTTTAGGGTAGTAGTACTAAAGGAAGAAAAAGTATACAGATTGGAGCTAATAAGTTTGTATTCATTCTGATCCTAAATACACCCATTAAACAGCATTTAAAAATTAATTCATTTTAAGATAAAACAAAATATGGTTTTTTTAACTTTATCCCATCAAGCAGGTTTTTTAAAAGTGATAATAAACAGAATGGTAGATTTTAGAGTCTGAAGCAAATAAACATGAAATAATCAACATTCACTGGTTCAAGTAAAATGATGGTAATAATATGTTATCATGATTTTAAGAAAATAAAAATACCAAAATACACACGAGTATTATCGGACACCTCTCAACTTACCATTTTTCCAATCATCATTACATATGGTCCTGCCTGTTGATTTACAGCTAGAAAATCTAGCAAACGCACATACCAAAATATTATGTTAAGACAATAAATTAATCTTCCAGCCACAAAAACATGATTATCATATGCATTCTCAAAGTTCCATTTTGCTCCAAATCTTAGTCCAAATCCAATGAAGAAAGAAATTATCGCAATTGTATCACTGATATTGAAGTAATCACTAAACCAAACTTTAATCTTCTGGTTTATTTTTCCAGCTTCAGACATAAAGATCTAGAGGTTACAAAAAAGGTTTAATCAGTTTCTTCCTATTAAAATATGTACCAGCATTCAATTATGACACTACAGTAGAATTTTATAGATCTTTTACTGTTTCAAAGTGCTTTTGATTATTTTGGTATTGGATGATACAACTGATTACCAAAACAATTCAATGAGATAGCAGAGGAAGATACTTTTTATCCTCATTCTATAAATAAAGAAAAAGCACAAAACAAGACTCCAAAGACAAATGACTGTGGACTCTCCAACTAAGGTCATGCAACTAAGAAACTGAAAAGCTTGGATTAGGACATGGTTCTTTAGACTCAGAATGTGAAATACTTTTAAAAAGTTGTTTTATTTTTCATCGAAGCAACACTACAATATACTGGTTTTTCTAAAGGTGCTTTTTTTCACAGAAATTAAATAACTTAATGGCTTAAAAGTAACTATACTTATCTAACTTATGTAAACATGTAACTCTTCTCTTAAATGTAACAATTTTAAAAACATTGTTGAGGAAGATGGTAATACATTCAGAAGATCAAAATCATAGTGTAGGAAGAGTAAATACTGAAACGTCTCCCTTCTACTCTCGTCTCCTGGCCAACTAACTTCTCCTTCCCACTAGAAGCAAACACTATTATTACGATCTCTTGAATCCTTGCAGAAATGTTTAATATTCTTAAATGCTTTACAATTTACTTTTATCATTAAACAACTCAATTTCTTTAACAATGTTAGTAAATAATAAATAACAGATTTTATGAACATATGGACCACTGTACTCAGAGGAATTTAAAATGCCTACTAAGCTATTTAATAAGGTAAATTCCTATGATACCTAAATGGGAAAAAATGTCTTCCAATTATTTTTGTAATTTCATGTATGCTCTAAGTGTAAAGCAGAAACGTGAAATAATCCAGACACATTTAAGTATGTTATAAAAACATTTATGAAGCCACCAGTTTGAAAAGAAGTGTTAAGGAAAAAACCATTCCTTGTTTTTTCCCCAAAAATAAGAGTTAGAAAATTTACAATTTAAATTGAACACTGAGAAACACAGGGATCTAAATTTAAAAGACAATTCAGTGGGCAATACAGGACATTTTAGTGGGCAATAGAATACAAAAGCAAAATATAAACCTATTTACAATTTACCTACCTGATTGACTATATGCATATTTAATATTTTTTGAAGAATGGCAGAGAGCATAAATATAAACGTTACTAAAAAAAAAACCTAGGCTAGGCTATGTTCCTGAGACAAATCATAATCTCTGTAACGGTAACAGTCAAAGTTAAGGCCATACTCCCAGGCAGCTATTCTTTTTTTTTTTTTTAATTGTACTTTAGATGAAGGTTTACAGAACAAATAGATTCTCATTAAACAGTACACATGTTGTTTTATGACAATGGTTAACAACCCCACGACATGTCAACACTGTCCCTTCTCAACCTTGGGTTCCCTATTACCAGCTTTCCCGTCCCCTCCTGCCTTCTAGTCCTTGTCCCTGGACTGCTGGGCCTCATTAGTCTCGTTTTGTTTTATGAGGCTGTCTAATCTTTGGTTGAAGGGTAAACCTCGGGAGTGACTTCATTACTGACCTAAAAGGGTATCCGGGGGCCATACTCTCAGGGTTTCTCCAGTCTCTGTCAGGCCAGGAAGTCTGGTCTTTTTTTGTGAGTTAGAATTTTGTTCTACATTTTTGTCCAGCTCTGTTCGGGATACTCTGTTGTGATCCCGGTCAGAGCAGTCAGTGGTGGTAGCCAGGCACCATCTAGTAGTACTGGACTCAGTCTGGTGGAGGACAGGCCTCTATTCTTTTGCCATTCTTTTAGAACAGCAAAAAATAAACATGTTCTACATTTTTATAATGTTATCACCTAATGAAACTATGAATAACACACCCACAAACACACCTCCTAAAAAAAAAGCAAATACCACCTCCATACATACCATAAGTTACAGGTAGGAAAAGCTAAAGACGTACCTCACGGACTTTCTCAATAGCATAGGTAAAAATATAAGCAATAACAATCCATTCTTGAACTGAAGGTAACCGTTCCATTTGTACAAGAACCACAAATGTATAAAGCATCAGAAACCCTAAATATGCCAACTAATAAAAAAGAAAAGTTATATAAATAAAAATGGTTACAAAATAAAAGAGGATTAAAACATACACAAAAATAAAAACTATATGAACTTCTGTGAACTAACCCCCAGCTTAAATAATTAGGTTTTAGAAATAGCTCTTCTGTAAGGTACACACTGCATTTAGAACAAAGTCTTTTTTTTCACAGATTTCCACAGAAAGAATTTTATATCAGGTTTATGTTCTCCTCAAAGTCCACAAAATTCTATTTAACTTATATCTAGAAGTACCATAATGTATTAAACTACAGAATTTCACCACCATAATCATCAAGAACACATACTGTCTCCTCCCTCTGCCTACTAAACAGTATTCCTAAGACAGAAACTGGTGTTTCCCTAGGTCCCAGTCACTGAGGATGAGGCCCAAGAAATGAAATGAGAAGTGAAGAGATTTTGCCCTAGTTTATCATAAAGGAAGAGTCCACCTAAGATACTTTTGACGATAACAACCAAAAGAAAAATGAAATAAAGCAGGAAACAAGGTCTATGTATAATAAAATCTGAATATTCATTTTGTTTCAAAGGAAAATCCAGATCCACTGATCCTTGAACTACTGTGGTTAAGAGTATTCTCCTTTCTCCTTGCCTCTACCAGTCCTAGCATAAGCCACATCCTTGACTTGTGCTATGGCAGGGTAGGGAAGTAAACTGCAACAGAGACAAAGAAAAAAGAAAATTCCTGTGGCCACCTGAGTTAGCCATTTTATGTAGCCATTTACACGAATGCAAATAAAATCTACCTATGTTACTTCAATTGTTGGGGACAGAATTTTGGGATTAGATCATTTAATTCAGATTTGCGTTTCTAGCACCTATACAGGGAGGAAGATGAAAATTATATTGAGAAGTAAGGGAATGTAATAAATTATTCTCAGGTTAGAAAGCAATAGTTGAAGAAACAAGTCCGCAAATGCTAATTTTACCACAAAGCCATTTGTATTCTTTGGTAGTTCAACAATGAAAATGAAAACAACAATAGCAAAAATAAAAAACACCTGAAGAGTTTTCCAGGGAGGGAAAGTGAAAGCTCATTCACTCAGTCCCTGCTTTCAAAGCAGTGGCTAATCCCATGTGTTTCTTCAGGTGAGTCCACGTATCTATGGACACATGCTCATTAATCAACCAGTAAAATCTGTTCTTCTATAAAGAGAAAAGCTACGTATGTGGCAGATATTCAAGCATTTATTCTAATATGTTAAAGGAATAAGCTATTACAACATCACTGATAAATGAAACCATAAGAATGATCTGGATTACTTTTCATTATCATCAATCATTCAGTCAACACCACAACCACATATCTGCTTAGCTCCAACTGGAATTAAGCTATGTTAGTGTTTATCCTTCTGTATGTTGGCAAATTTGATAAAATTAAGCCAAACATACTGGGATTAAATCAAACATATTGCCCTTTTAAATGGAATATGGCTTTTCAGTGATCCAAGTTATATCAAGATTAGCATGGACTGTAGCCCAAAAGTCCCCTAAAACTTATCTTTAAAAAACATTATGCTCATATAATTTCAAAACGTACCGTGTTAAACCAGAATTTTACAATTGGTGCATGATAAAAGGCATAAAACTTTCGTGTGATTGGAAGCTTTTTTGATTTTATTTGTATCTCCATTTCATTCTTTCCTTCATTACTATCCAAAATTCTTATTTCTTTAAACACTTCCTAAAATAAGAATAATATTTATTTTACATTTATTCACAACAAACTTACATTTACTTTAAAATTTTTTCCTCCTTACCATGGGAATCTCTTCTGTTACATTTTGAAAGTTGTTTTCGCTATCTTCCATTGTCATCTGATGGGCATCTTGAGATTGTGGAATATGAGACATTTCGGCCTTAGTTTTATATTCTAGCATTAATATAGCAGGTGGAACTAAAATGCTTAATATGACCTAAAAATTCAGAAACATACAAGTTTCCATTTCAAAATTAGTGACCTTCAAGAAGACAATAAAAGCAATAAAAGGCACTAAGTATTCTATGATTATTAGTTAGCCATTCTACCCCCTGGTAGTGTAAGTAAAAAACAAAAAATTTGTTTGTTACATATTCTATTTAAAGAGGCCCAGGTTGAACTGTTTTAAGGAGTACAAAACATCTGAGTATTACATGAAAATAAAGAGTGTAGAAAAGATTTAATGATTATTATAAATCTGCCTTTTTTTAAAAACACCAGATTAGACTTCATTTGGCAAATACATTTTGTTTAAACAAAATTCAAACCTTATGAAGGTGCTACGTGCTTCACCTTATCCTAAATCTCTTTGCAAGTGTTCCATGTCATAACATGATTACTCAGCTCATGCCTCAATAAACAAGATTTCTAAAAATTTAGGTATTACCTACAAAATCCTAAAACACAAAGAAATTATAACTGTGAATCAGGGTTTCTGTTGGATACTCTTCATAACTATTTTTAGTTGATGACTAGTATTTGTTAGTCACCTACAAAGGCCTATGGTTAAGAACTACTTGCCTGACTTCTACCTTCTATACTTCTGTACCTTATTTAAAAAAATATAAGAGGATGAAAAGGAAAGTTTAAAACAGTATCTCTAACTATTATCAAACTGAAAGTACCAAACACTTTACCCTTAAAAGTTTACATTCAGCCTAAGATTACCCTTCTTAACCTTAAAAATCAGGTACAGCCAATATACGTCAAATAACCTAAAAGTAACAGATTATTAGGTTAACAGATAGGTCTTGGATTTTAGAATTTGGGGATCAATATTTCATAAAAGTTCCAACTCTTTTTATGTGGGTGCTCAAAGGCTGTAAACCCCAATAACCCGATTTGTTGCCCCCACACTTCTGGCTCAGACAAGGGTAACAATCATTATAAACACATCTGAAAAAGGACTCAAGAGTGAAGAAGAGGGGGAAAAAAAAGGTTCTAACATGTCACTTGGGATGAAATGCCAACCACCACCCTGAACACCCTCATAATCAAGGTATTTGACTATACATCTGGACTAATTCCTCTGTTCTTTTTAACTACTCACATACTTTATACCAAGCTGTTTCTAAAGTATACCTTGTACCACGAATTTTTCCTCATATTCAGTCTTCCCATCCACATATCAGACAACAACATTTGTGTACAGGTGTGGGCTACAAAAGGTCTAAGTCTTGAAGAAACTGCTAACTTAAGGCAGGTAGAATTACTCCAGTTTTTCAGTTCATAAGTGAGCAACTTCATGGCCATGGTTTCATCCTGTCTGAAGGACTGTTCTAATAATTCAACTGCCAGTTGACCAAAATCACTATACAAAAATAAAAGTAAAAATATATTCAAATTACCAAACTTCAGTTTTAAAATTCATTCATTCCACGCTCCAGTTTTAATATTTTCATACACACTTATGGAACTGTAAGGCATTAGAATAATAGTAGCGCTGTTTTTACACATCCACATCTATGTGGAAAACACAAAATATTAAAATACGTCACATTAAGAATAAGACTAAACAGGTGAATCCAGACTACTTTTTTCTGGTCCTGGAAACAAACCTACAGTCTCGGCATGGAATCAAAACTGACAGTAGTCTAGTGGTCTGAGCTCTGTATAGTATTTCACACATAGAACAGAGAGGAAGAATAATGTGAACAGGGACTAATCAAATCATAAAAACACTTAAAAAGTAATATGGTCATCAAAATAGATACACAAGTATCATAAAGATACATCCAAGTCTGATTATACTATCTTCCAAAGATATATACTTTGGATACATATACTATACTGCACAACTGCAATAAACCACTAAGCCTTCTAATCATCTTAAGTAACATTTCTCACATATGCAGTTTCACTGATCCAAACTCTTCTTACCTACCTTGTGATTCATCTGTTTTTGGTCTCAGAGTTCAGACTCCCATCTGAACCACTGTACCAGCCATTTGAAACTTGAATCTCCAGTAAGTGATCATAGGATCCCTACTAGTTCTTTTCAGTAACAACTTACTCTCTTCCTAACATAGCCCATTTGAGGGGGAAGGAGGTCCTACTACATACTAGAAACCTTTCTAACAAATGACCTTTCTAGCTTTATATTTCAATATTCCCTTAAATAAACCATAAATTTTTGTTGTTTTATTCTTCTATATATGTAGTTCGACCATCAGAAGTGCTCTCTCCTTTGAATTTAATCCCATCCTTAAGAACAGAGCTCCAACTTCATTTCCTTACTCCAAATGGAACTTTTTTCTAATCTGATTGCTACTAAGTACAATTATAAAACTGACTTTTGGCATTTCTTCTTTCTAGCTGAAATAGTTAACTCTTGAGAATTACAAATAATATTATAATAACTTTTTTCACATGCATAGACTGAAAGCTTTCTTTCTGAAAATTTTTAATATCTAATATATTTTTCCTGTTGCTGTCAAGTCGATTCCGACTCATAGTGATCCTATAGGACACAGCAGAATTGCCCCATAGAGTTTCCAAGGAGTGGCTGGTGGATTCGAACTACCGACCTTTTGCTTAACAGTTGATCTCTTATCTTGGCTGCTAATCGAAAAAAGTCGGCGGTTTGATCCCTCCACCAGCTCTGTGAGAGAAAGATACAGCAGTCAGCTTCCTTAAAGATTTATAGCCTTGGAAACCAGATGGGGCAGTTCTACTCTGTCCTATAGGGTTGCTATGAGGCAGAATCAACTCAACGCAATGGGTTTGGTTTGGCTTTGGAATATATTTTTAAATTAATCTTCTCAATATATATCTATCCATTCCATTAAGTGCATGACACTATAATGACCACTCAAACATGCTCTCTTTTGCATTTTTTAAATGTTTTCAAATATTTAAATATAACTTACTTGGAATACTGTTTCAGTTCTTCTGAAGTATCATCTACCAGGTCACTCTGCTTTGCTTCATATGCCATCGAACGATATATTTTACAAGCAACTAATGCTTTCGCCATTGACTCTTCGCCATGCTGCCATAAAAAACGGGCCATGACCTGCCTCTTCATAAGGCAAGCCCATATTAACAATTCATTAAGCGGATAAGGAAAGCGCTTGGTTTCAGGATCATCAATATCTACAATGTCATCTTTGGTTCTTTTCTTCTTTCCCTCTTCCATAGCTGTTTCAATCTTCAAGGGAAAAAATGATAAAAGGTTCATTAATAAGGCCATATAACATTCATGTTAATGAGAAATTTTATAAAATACCTTTTATGGTTACTTTTCAAGTTAATATAACTACATATAACAAAATAATATCTATTTTATCTACCTGATTTTTTATCATAGCTCATAATTCAGTTTGTACAATTGGCATTTCAACAAAAATGTCTTTGTAACAAATTTTTCCAAGATTAAGAAAAGGCCTAAAGATTTAAACTAATAAGCTGATAAAACACAATTTTTATGAAATAAAAGTTTGGGTAACACTTGTCTTACGTGTCCTTAATCAAGTAAAAATGGAAAAAAAGGAGATTTATCAAAATATTTTTAACATTTTGTTACCATGGCTAAATATGAAAAATTTAATAGCATCATTAACTCACAATGTGTATCTCAGTATATGGGAAAATGAAGACTCAAAGATATATGTCATCCAAAAACAAGATTATTCTTACTAAAACAGTTTTTTGTTTCATAATACTAAGTAGTTTAGAAAGAACAAAATCTAAAATTCAGAAAGGATAATGTTTAAATAAATATACCTTTGGTCGGTAGGGCTGTGCTGTTTTAATGAAATGATTATGTCTCATTTTTTCCTTTTTATCTGCCCTATTGCCAAAAGACTCATGACTTTTTCGCAATTGAGGAGTGCTGCTGGAGGTATTTCGGCCAGACCTCTGAAAATAAGAGCTTATTAACTTTTACAGATTTAAATACACTGACATGTTATAAAATTCAAGAATCACTTATTTATATATCAGTATATATGTGTAAACACACAGACACATAAAGTATGGTGATAGCTTTAGGATTTCAATTGTGAAATATTTCCAATTATTCTTGGTTGAAAATCTCGTATTTTAAAGACATGTTACTTTTACTATTCTAATATGAAAAATTTAATAGTATTACCAATTCACAATGTATATCTTAGTATATGGGAAAATGAAGATTCAAAGATATAATATGTCCAAAAACAAAAGACAATTTAATTCTTATTAAAACAAGTAGCTGTTTCATAATACTAAGTAGTTTAGAAAGAACAAAATGCAAAATCTAGAAAGGATAATGTTTAAATAAATATAGCTTTTATTTAGATAATTATAAATACTTTTAAGTTTAAATAAATATTACAAGTAACTCTTACTTACAATTTTTAACATTTAAAGTGTTAATTTTAAAGCATATATATATGTAGACCACCCAAAAAATGTTACATACCCGATTATTTCCACCAAGACTATTATATATTAATCGAAAACGTTTCCGAGTGTAGGTGCATCTATAGGTTCCTCCCATTAGATACTCAATAACAAGTCCTATATCAATTAGAGTGATCTTATATCCTGGAGGAAGATTTCCCTGGAAACAAAACATTACTTTTTAAATACAGTAGTATTTCTCAGTATTTCCATGCTATGCCTAGGAATGGGCCTCTCTCTCAAAATGACAAATGTTTATATATGGAGTTGTCAGCAGCTATCTTAAAAAGTAAGGGAAGTAATCTGCTTCTCTATTTCTTTGTCTAAGAAGAGACAATTCTGCAGTTTTGAGGTCTCAAAGGTGTGGTTCAAGATTGGAGTATGGTCACAGTTGGAAGTTGCCTTAACACTTCACAAATAGAGGCACTGGAACTTTTAACAGCAAAGCACTGCATTTTCACTGTGGAACATATAACAAATTGCATTTTCCTCTTAAAAAAACACTGTCAATGTTAATTATGTTTCCAGACTGGCCCATAATATAACCTGTATTTTTTAATTAAACATACATTGACTACATTACAGGTTATACAAGTTTTCACAGCCTAGTATATGGGTTGGAATCAACTCAAAGGAACAGGTTTGATTTTTTGCTTTTGTTTTTTTAAATAAGACTTAACTACCATTTGTGACATTCTTAACACTTTATTTTCCCTCAGGAACAATCAATTCACAAATGAACTTTTGGAATACAACCTATTTGTGAGTATGGAAAGACTGCCTGTTTCAAAAACATAAATTTGGTTAATTTCATTAAATAATCAAAGAAGAATAATCACTTAAGTTATACAGAAAAAAGTATGTGATGGATATTGAACTTCTGCTCTTCTGGATTTGTTATTTCTCCTACCAGATGGTTTTATTTATCAGCTATGACCTCCTACCAATACCATTCTTTCCATTTTCTTCATTACAGTTTCATGAACTTGGTACTTTTTAAAATATTTATTCTCTTAATGTTTTGGTTTCATCTATGGAATTTCTGATTGCTAGTCTGTATTTTTCAAATTTTCAATTTAAAAATTATCAAACTGAGTCAAAACACATCATGTTTTCCTCTTTTTGTTTTACTCAAGCAACCTCAAAATGTGCTTTACGAGTAAGGATGTTATGTATACTTCAATTTCATTTTTTTAAAAACCCTGAAAATTACCAATGATGCAAGTCCACTTTAAGTTTTTCTCTTCATTGTGCATTAAGTGAAAGTTTAGAGCAAATCAGATTCCCATTTGATAGTGTGTAAAATAAAGTGTTTCGTGGCCTTGGTTTCATTCCCGCAATGTGACAGCACTCCCATTTCCAAGGTGGGTTCCCCATTTCCTTTCATCCTGATCTTCTACCCCTTTCTGCCTTCTTATCTTTGCTTCTGGGCGAATATTTTGCTTCTGATCTCATATAATTGATTGTTCTGAGGAGCACTTTCCTCTCGAGTGTTAGTTACTGTTTATTTTATGAGCCTGTCTATTGTCCGGGTGGAAGGTGGTCTCCTGGAATGGCTTCAGTTCCAGGTCAGAAGGGTGTCTTAGGGCCATAGTCTTGAGTGTTCCTCCAGTGTCTGTCAGACCAGTTGTTTGGTCTTTTTTATGAATTTGATTTTTTGTTCTACATTTTTCTCTCACTCTGTCCGGGACCTTCTCCTGTAATCCTAGTCAGAGCTCAGTAGTGGTAGCTGGGCACCATACAGTTCTTCCAGACTCTGGGTCGTGTAGGCTGTGCTCCATATGGTCCATTAGTCCTTTGGACTAACTGCTCCCTTCAGTCTTTGGTTTTCTTCACTCTCCTTTGCTCCAGGCGGAAAAAGACCAATAGCTTGGCTGCTCGCAAGCATTTAAGACCCCAGATGCTACTCACCAAGTAGGATGCAGACATTGTCTTTATGAACTACGTTGTGCCAACTGACTTACATGTCCCCCAAGTCTATGGTCCTTTGCCGTTGAGCCTAGAACTTCATCCTGTGAGGTGTTTGGTGATGTCTAAGAGATTTCCCTGACTGTGCCCCTTGTGTGTTCTATTGACTATGTTAATACATGAGGAGCAGGTACAATCATGTATGTAGAAATATCCAACACCAAACCTGTATCTGCCAGTGGGTGTGCTCCCTTACACCCTCCCACACCTCTTAGCATATCTACCTATGTATTTATTCATAAATTATTGTTTGTTATTACTATTATTGCAGGACTCTCTATGCTACAGCAATTACTGTAGTTGCCCTTCATTCCCGCATTCCTCTCAGGTCCTCTCTTGCCTTGGTCATGCTGACTTCTCACGCATTGTGTACTGCCTTTCCCTTTACCAATATTAACATATGTCTTCTATTTGGTAATGTTTCCTCTCTTCCCATCCCATCCCTGGTAACTATCAAAGAATAGGGTTTTTTTTTACCATTTTTTCCCCGTGTGTAAACCTTTTGTTGTTACTTTATAATAGTGGTCTCATACAATATTTGCCTTTTGTGGTTGAGTTACTTCACTTAGCATAATGTTCTCCAAATTCACTCATATTATGTTTCATGGATTAGTCATTATCGCTGCGCAGTACTCCACTGCATGTATGTGTCACAGTTTCTTCACCTGTGGTTCCGCACTTACGTAGTTTCCATCTTTTTACTATTTTGAATAATGCTGCAATGAACATGGGTGTGCATTTGTCTATTCAAGCCATGGCTCCTATGTCTTTAAAATATATACCTAGCAATGGGATTGCTGGATCAATGGTATTTCTATTTCTGTCTTTTTGAGGAAGCACCAAATCGTTTTTCCATAGAAATTGAACCATTTTACAATCCCACCAGCAATATGTAAGAGTCCCAATCTCCCCAAAACCTCATCAACATTTGCTATTTTTCTTTTTTATTAGTACCAGTAATCTCAAAGTGAGATGGTATCTCATTCTAGTTTTCATTTGCAGCTCTCTAATTGCTAATGATCATGAGCATTTCTTCATGTGTTTGTTCGCTGTCTAAATGTTTTCTTTTGTGAAACACCTGTTCATATCCTTTGTCCATTTTTTAATTGCATAGTCTTTTTATTATTGAGGTGTTGAAGTTTTCTATAAATTTTAAAGATTAGACCCTGGTAGGATATGTCATAGCCAAAAATTTTTCCCCAATCTGTAGATTCTCTTTTAAGTCTTTTGTTGGGTGTTAGTGTTTAATTTTTAGGAGGTCTCATTTATCTAGTTATCTTCGGCTGTGTACGCCCTTTCAGTTATGTTTGATATTCTCTTTATGCCATATATTAGGGTCCCTAGAATTATCTCCATTTTTTCCTTCATGATCTTTATAGTTTTAGGTTTTATATTTAGGTCTCTGATCCATTTTGAGTTAGTTTTTGTGAACGGTGTGAGGTATGGGTCCTGTTTCATTTTTCTAGTTTTGCCAGCACCATTTGTTGAACAGACTGTCTCCTCCCCATTTAAAAGACTTTGACACTTTGTTGAAGATCAGCTGTCTGAAGGTGGTTGGATTTCCATTTGGGGTCAATATGACTGTTGCTGTACTAGAAACAGGCTGTTTTGAATACCATGGCTGTATAATAGGATCTGACATAAAAGTCCGAGGTATCCTACATAGTTCTTCTCTTTGAATAAGCTTTACTTATCTGAGGTCTCTTTCCTTTCCATATAAAGTTGATCAATTTTTTAATCTGGTTAAAGAACGTTGTTGGAGTCTGGATCAGGACTGCATTATCATCTATACATAGCTTTGGGTAGTACTGATATTTTCATAATTTTGAGTCTTCATATCCATAGGCATGGCATCTTTTTCCATTTCTACAGGACTTTCTTGGTTTCCTGTAGAAGTGTTTTCTAGTTTTCTTTGTATAGGTCTTTTACATCCCTGGTTAGATTTATTTCTAATTATTTTATCTTTTGGGGGCTATTGTAAATGGTATGGTTTTCTTGATTTTCTTTTCAAAGTTCTCTTTGTTGGTGTAGAGGAAGCCAACTGATTTTCATATGCTTATATAAATCCTATTACTCTACCTAATACTTCCATGGGTTTTAGTAGCTTTCTTGTGGAATATTTAGGATTTTCTAGGTATAGGATCATTTTATCATCTGTGAAGAGGGATAGTTTTACTTCTTCTTTCTCAAATTTTAAGTCTTTTATTTCCTTTTCTTGCTTTATTGCTCTAGCTAGGACTTACAGTACAATGCTGAGAAACAGTCGAGATAAAGGACATACTTGTCTTGTTCCCATTCTCTAGAGGAATGCTTTCAGTCTCCCTCCATTGAGCATGTTGGCTGTTGTTATTTTATAAATGCCCTTTATAATTGTTGAGGAATTTCCCCTCTATCCCTATCTTGCTGAGACTTTTTCTTTTTTAAACCAGAAATGGGTGTTGGACTTTATCAAATTCATCTTCTATGTCAACTGAGCAGATCATGTGATTCTTTTATTTATGTGGTGGATTACGTTGATTTTCTAATGCTGAACCATTTTTGCATACCTGGTAGAGATTCCACTTGGTTGTGGTACATTCTTTTTTTGATATGATACTGAATTCTATTAGCTAGGCTTTTGTTGACAATTTTTCCATCTGTATTCATGGGAGATATTGGTCTGTAATTTTCTGTTTTTGTGGTGTGTTTGCCTGATTTTGGTATCAGGATAATGCTGGCTTCAAAGAATGAATTCAGGAGTATCCTTCTTATTCTATGCTCCGAAATAGTTTGAGAAGTACTGATGTAAGCTCTTCTCAAAATATTGGGTAGAATTCTCCAGTGAAGCCATCTGGACCAGAGATATTTTTTGTTGTTGTTGTGATGTTATTTATTATTTCTTCAATCTCTTCTACTGTTATGGGTCGGTTGAGTTTTCCTACCTCAGTTTGTTCCAATTTAGGTAGGTAGTATGTTTCTAAAAATTTGTCCATTTCATTCAGGTTTTCAAATTTGTGGACTACAATTTTTCTTTTGTTTACTGTTATAGTTTAAGTGAAAGTTTACATTTCAAGTTAGTCTCTTATACAGAAATTTATACGTACATTATTATGTAACTCTAATTGCTCTCCCTATACCGTGACAGCACACTCCTCCTCTCCACCTCTGATTTCCCATGTCCATTTAACCACCTCCTAAGTCTCTCTACCTTCT